AGCAGCAGGAGTCGTCACAGGAAACTGTGCGGTCGGAGTGAACCTCCAGAAATGGAAAATCACAGATGACAGCAGCTGCAGAGAATGCAACGAGGAAGAAGAAACAATTGAGCATCTGATGTGCTGGTGTCCAGCCCTAGAAAACCGATGCCTCCAGACAATGGGACAAGAATTTCTGGATGGACTGGAAGACGCAGCGGAGATGGGCATTGACAATATAATGAGCTTCGCACGGAACTGGAAGTGTTTCAACGCGAGGTGGTAAAGACGGGTCAAGGGTTAAAAATAGGGTATCACAATGGACCTCAGGTCTCCGAGTGAATGGTCACTAGATGACCACACCCTTTCACCTAACCTAACCTAACCAGTGCTGGCCAAATCAAACAATCTAAAAATCTACCAATTCTACAAAAAACTCATTTTGGATGGGTAGTATCAGGCTGTACTGCGATTGACATGGCTGGACCGACTCATTCGGTTAACTTTCATTTAACTATATCCAATAATTTAAGTCATGAGTAAAATCGTTTCTGGGAAGTAGAGCACAACATTTCTTCACATACACTAACAAGTGAAAAGCGTGCCTGCGAGGAGCTATTCTTGACAGAATTGCGGCGAAATTCTGAAGGATGTTTCATCGTCAAATTACCAATAAAACAAGACAAACTTGATAAACTAGGCAATTCTAAGGACATAGCCTTACGACGCTTCACGGCACTAGAAGCGGCGCGTCTTATAACCCAACCTGATATGTACTCTGAGTACAAGAAGTTCATGCAAGAGTACATTGACTTAGGACACATGCGCGAAGTAGATAGTTCGATGGAATTCACTCCAAATCAATCTTACTACCTACCACATCACGCAGTAAGAAAGGAAACAAGTATGACTACTAAATTCAGAGTAGTGTTCAACGGTTTATCCAAGACTGACACTGGCATTTCCTTGAATGATGCATTAATGGTCGGCCTTAACCTACAAGTAGATCTCCATTTTCAAGATTTCACACTTTTTTGATTGCACTGACGGCCGATGTAGTCAAGATGTACAGGCAAATACTAATTGATCCATCACACACACCTCTCCAACGTATTTTCTGGCGCAAAGCAATTAACGAGCTCATCAAAATATACGAGTTACTCACAGTGACATACGGTACGTCTTCCGCAGCATTCGAAGCAATCAAGGCTATGAGAAAATTAGTTGAAGATTATGCAGAACGTTATCTAACTGCATCCGAGATACTGTTGCGAGATTTCTACGTTGATGATTTGGTCTCCGGGGCAGATACACTGAGAAGCCTTAACGATTAAAGATGAACTTACCCAATTGTTGCAAGAAGAAAAATTTGAACTGAGAAAATGGGCGTCCAACGAACCCTCCTTACAAGGTGAAAAATCCTCGGTCAATTAAGAGGAATTTATTTTGGCAGCTGACAAGGAAACAGAAAGACGCACTCTGGGCATCATATGGGATTACAATTCCATCATATTCAAATTCTTTAGTATCAACTGTGTACCACCACTTAAAACTCCCACGAAGAGAGGCATCATATCCAGAATCGCTTTAATTTTTTATTACTAGGCCCTCTAGGATTACTAGGCTTTTATTAACAGCATTTGAAAGAGAATCGTTCGTACCCGTTTGTACTTCCGTCAAAATCGTTTGTACCTAAAAAAAACCGGAAGTATAGGCTTTTCAAAATACGTCCAAGAGGTACTTTCGTCAGTTTTAGAGATATCGAAAAACGGCCAACGGCATTCGAAAGAGAAGCTTGCATTTGTTTGTGACTTTATTTCTATCTTTAGAGTAAAGAACGCAGCGATCAAAATATTGATGATGAAAGAATTCATTTTTTTTTACATCATGTTAATTTGTACGTGCTGTCTATTTTGACATCGTAGTAGTGTTTCATCACAGTAGTGCTACTCTTTGAAATATATAATATTAGCATGCGTTTATTGTATAATTGTGTTGCATTCCTGCGCTTGGCGTAATCCAGAACTAACGACGAGGACGTGGCAGGATTCTAGTTCCGTTTTGTTTTTTATTTTTTTTTATGTATTTTTTAATTTTTTTAATATTTTTTTTTTTTTTAAATTTTTTTTACATTTATTTTTTAAATCTTTCTGGTTTAAATTTTTTTCTATTTGTAGTTTCTTATTTTTAGTCTGCGCCTGCATGGTTAGGCTTCGTATTACATTTGTTTTACGGCTTTATTAAGTGCTAAGGGAAAGAGATAGTTTTTGGAGTATTTTTGAAACGTGCTGAAGTGGTCCGAAGTGTGAGTTTTACGCAAACATCTTTTTATTTGGAAGTGCTTTGCATGAATTCTCAGCGTGTCATTTCTCGCCTCTGGCGTCGCGATCTAATGGCTGCGGCGAATACCCAGGAGCCTTAAACGTATAATATAGTGCAATCGATTCAAGACAGCGGAAACATAACGCGAGAGAAAGAGGAGTGTGCTGTTTCGCTTTTGTTTATTCGCAGAAGCTAGCCGAGCGCGCGTTTGTCAGTTGTCACACGCGCGATATACTTATCCCCTTGCTCCCGCACAGCGCGTTTTCTATTCACTCTTGCCTGTCTAGTGTGCTTTGCCGCCAAAGCTCAGTCAATTTCTCCCAGACTTGCCATAGATTTAACTCTCCTTAATTCTGTATCCTTTGCTTGGATAACACCATTTTGCGAACTTTTCTTTTATATGAGTTGTTTTAGCTACTTCGTGCCACTGCGAGATCACAGAAACTTTAACTGTTCTGATTCTCTAACTCTAACCGGAAGACTTTATTGATTAAAGAAACGTAAGTTTCGTGATTAAATTGGATTGTCATTAAACGACGCGATGATGGTAGGGCCAGTTATTCAAGACAACCTCATTTCTGTGCTTTTAAGGTTTAGGACTTATCGTTACGTTCTCGTAGCTGACATAATAAAAATGTATCGGCAAATATTGATACATCCATCTCAAACGAAACTACAAAAAATCTTATGGCGTGACGACAAGACCTCCAATGTTCAAACATTCGAGTTGGCCACTGTCACTTATGGCACAGCCGCTGCGTCCTATCTGGCCACGAGATGTCTCCTCGATTTAGCGGAGCTGTACGCAAATGAATTCCCACTAGGATCGCTGCATTTAAAACGCAATTTCTATGTGGATGATTTGCTCACCGGAGCAGACTCAAAGTCGGAGGCTTTAGCAATACGCGATCAGTTAATACAGTTACTAAAGTTAGGCTCCTTTGAACTTAGCAAATGGGGATCCAATTGCCCTGAGTTGCTAGCGGGTATTAGTGATCGAAGCGATAGGCTCGTGGCCTTTGACAAGGACAACAACTTTCGCGTATTGGGCACGGCATGGGATATGCGCGACGATTTTTTTCGCTTTTCGTTAAATCCTGTGCAATCTTCGAACACCATCACAAAGCGCTCCATACTCTCAGAACTGGCAAAATTATTTTATCCTTTGGGACTACTTGGTCCGACCATAGTAGTAGCGAAAATCATTTTGCAAAACCTGTGGCAGTCGGGTGTGAGCTGGAACGAATCCGTCCCCCAGAATGTCCATACGAAGTGGTTACAGTTTAGGTTACAACTCTCGAATATTGATAAATTACAGACACCTCGTTGTGTCAAGTATAGAGCAGAAGCACGATTTATACAAATCCATGGCTATTGTGACGCGAGTGAAAGTGCTTACGGCGCTTGCGTTTATGTCCGCACTCGATTAGGGCCAGAAAGCTATGTTTCTTATCTCTTTTGCTCGAAATCCCGCGTGGCTTCTGTAAGGCTGTTTCTCTCCCGCGTCTCGAATTGGCCGTGGCATTGTTGTTGTCACAGTTGATTGATAAGGTTAGATCATCCATTGACACTACCGACATGAAAATATTACTGTGGTCAGATTCCACCATAGCGCTCAACTGAATAAACTCCCATTCGCGTCGATGGTCAACATTTGTTGCTAACCGCGTAGAAGAGATCCAAAGATTGACAGAGCGGTCTAATTGGCGACACGTCAAATCATCAGATAATCCCGCAGACGTCTTGTCAAGGGGACTGCTCCCAAACAAATTGGTAAATTTGGAGTTGTGGTGGCGTGGCCCTTCTTATCTAATGCTACCGGAACACGACTGGCCCAGTGGCAAATTTAAAGTTCTCATCGAGCGGAGGGCGTTCCCGAGCAAAAGGTCGCCTGTTCAGTTGCTTCTTCGTTCGATTTCAGCACCATAAACGATTTAATTGACAGGTATTGTAACCTAAATAAAACGTGCAGGATCATAGCATATTGCTTTAGGTTTCTCACCGCCAACGCGTCTAAACCTTCTACTGTAGAAGTATCTCCGCAGGAAATATCGCGCTCATTAAAGTTGTTATGCAAAATGGTTCAAAGGCAGAGTTTTCACGCGAAATATGACTCATTAAGCCGGCATGAAAATATTAGCAACTCAAGTAAGCTAAAATCTTTAGCTCCGTTCATGGAAGACGATAATTTAATCAGAGTAAGTGGCAGATTAAAGAATTCAGAACCACGCTATGATGCTTGTCACCAAATAGTGCTTCCGCGGAATCATAATTTAACCAAACGAATAATAGAACACGAACATTTACGCAACCTGCATTCCGGTTTGCAGGTTACCATGGCGTCAGTCAGACAACGTTTTTGGCCACTAGCTTTAAGGTCAACAGCACGCCGGGTCATTGACAGTTGTATCACTTGTTTCAAGGCTCGTCCCGTCTTTTCCGAGGCTCAAATGAATCTTTTACCGGCATCTAGAGTCACGGTTTCTCGACTTTTTTCTCATTGCGGCGTAAATTATGCCGGACCAGTGACCTTGCGAGAAGGGAGCCGACGTAATTCACGCAATCGTAAGGCATATATAGCCGTCTTCGTTTGCTTTGCGACGAAGGCAGTGCACTTAAAAATAGTCAGCGACCTTACTACTGACGCATTCATCGCTGCGCTAAAAAGGCTCATTTTTCGAAGAGGAAAGCCTGACCAAATGTACCCCGACAACGCGACGACGTTTGTTGGAACTCAGAAGCAACTAAAGGAATTTTATCACCTTTTGCGAACAGATGAAGCGCAAACAACAATCGGGCAATTTTTGCGCGGCCATGAAACCACATGGAATTTTATACCTCCTAATGCGCCACATTTTGGTGGCCTTTATTGGGAGGCGGCTGTTAAATCCGCAAAGTACCACCTCGGGCGAATCGTGGGCGGGCAGAACTTGACTTTCGAGGAAATGTCGACTACTTTATGCGAAATTGAAGCTGTGTTGAACTTGCGACCTCTTATGATACTGAGCTCCGACCCAAACGATATGGCGTACCTAAGTCCCGGACACTTTCTGGTTGGCGCACCACTGAGGGTGCGTTTCGCTATTCACTCGCAGTACTGGCAGCACTGTAAATCCGTTCCAATATACGCGGCAGTAAGCTGTCAAAGCGTTTTCGTGTTCATGTGACGTCATAGATTTTGTCGTCACTCCCTACTTTCATTACCGCGGCTCGCGAAGTGAGGCATTCGCAGTAAGAACATGGCGGCTATGGCGGCACCTTTGAAAAAATTGGTCCTTACCTATGTGAACCTTGCACCCGACTTTCGAAAAATTAATTTTTTTTCGGAAAACGTTAGCATTTGGTTTGTAGTTGTTTGTAGTAACAAAAAT